TTTTTAAAAAAATTAAAACTAATTCACATTAATAGCTTATTTTTAATATTAGTATGATCTAATTTTCTTTTTTAGTTTTTTTTATTATGGTTTCTCGGCGCGTATGTAGGACGATAGATTGGAAAGGGGACCCCACAGGAGGTTTTAGTGAGGTGTTGTTCTCATACCGTTATTCGCACGCGATTCACGTGTTGTTTTTTTGACCCACCATCCTTTACACGTGCTTAAGCTTTGCATCATAAAAAATATATTACAGAGATAAATTATTTTTGCACGTTAATTCCACGTGGCATAAAATTATGGGTTATTGGATACATTCCTGTTTCTCGATTGGTCGTTTACAACTTTAAATACATCAATTTCATTCATTTTAACATATAAAAAATCAATAAAGTTTTCTTTTATTTGTTCTTCTCCTACTAATAATGTTAGAAATAAATCATCAACTCCACCAAAATTAATAAATAAATAAATATATATATCTATATAGTTAGGGACGGTTTGGGTAACAATGAGTGAAGTAAATATTGTATCATATCGGCCGGTATAATCGGTATATATTGGTTTTTTAAACAGATTGAAATGGTATAATATTAATTTTCATTTCGATTAAAATTCGATCATTTCAATCAAAATTTGATATACCAGCTAAAATTTATTGTATTAGTCAGTATACAAAATTTCAGTTGATACACATTATGCTCAAATAAAAACAAAAATTCCTAACCCAAAACGACGTCATTTTGGCTAAGGGCTTTAGTCCTTGCAAATCTGCAATTTCATATCACAGTATCGCACATCGCATAGCCTTGCCATCCTCTGTTCCGACCCTCTTCACCGGTGGTGCAGGGCGTGCAACTGCTGCTCCTCTTTCCTGTTTTGCAAATCGGACACCCTAGATTTTGAACTTGGAGATCGATTCGTGGGCTAAGGGCTTGTAATTTCATATTGAATTTCTGCAATTTCTACAATTTCTACAATTTCATAATGCAGTTTTCGCTGGTGGTCCAGTCCAGCCGCTACTACTTTTAATGTTTATAACTTAAAAGTATCCAAAGGATTTTTGTTTGAGTTATAATGGAGTTTAAGTTAATGGTTGAAGAAAGAAAGGATTATACTAACTCAAAAGGATTATATTTATAAAAATATATATTTATAGCGATAAATCTGAAATAATATGCAAAAAAATTTTGATATTTAATAGTACTGTTTCAATAGTAAAATTAATACGTATACTGGTACGATTTTAGTACTAAACCGGTTAATTTTTGTGCACAAAAGCAATGAAAAAAAAGTAATTAATTATAACTATTTTGTATTTTTTTTATTTTTAATAGATATAATTTAATTTTTTGATTTTTTAAATTTAAATTTAGATAAAAATTTAATATATTATATAAATAATAATTAAAATTTTTTATCAAATAAAAATATTTAACAAAAACTTTATATATAAAACATTTTTTATTTATTATTCATATAAATAGATGTTAACTTGTTGAGGATGCTAATTTCGGATTGGCTGAATTTAAATTTTGAATTTTTTTAATATTATTTAAATGTAAATAATTTTAATATGTTATATCTGTTACCTTGATGAAGATAGAATTTTGCTTGGCATTTATGGATAGGTTAAATGCTTAAGTTGGTCCCTCAACTTTATGAAATGCATATTTTTGGTCCCTCAACAATTTTTTGCACTTTTTTGATCCCTCAACTATACGAATTGCACTCCGTTAGTCCCTCTGTTAATTTGGGCCGTTAACCTTGCTTATGTGGCATTTTTTATATTTTTTTGATGATGTGGAGAGCAAAATTTAAAAAAGTGATGATATGCATAAAACTTTTGCCATGTCACATGCTACCCTAGCAAAAACACACCAAATCCATCCAAATGGGTCACACATCACCACTAAGAATTGCTTCTTTGCTCATCGGTTACTGTTTTTATTCTTTCCATAAACGGTGTTCTTTTCATTTTTAAGATTGAAGTTC